CGTGGCCCAACTGAAAAGACAGGACGGGCCCATGAGGTGGGGCCCCTGACGCCTCTCCCCCAAACACGCCAGTTCATTCGCACCTCCGGGCCTCTGCTCATGCTGTCCCCTGCGCCGTGAATACCCGTCCCCAACACCCTCTTCCAGGGAACTCATCATCCACTTTAGTGCCTGCCAGGAGAAGTTACCAGAACCAGACTCACGATACCTATCCCTTCATCACTCAGTCTTCTATGCTCAGTACCATGAGAAAAAGTTCTGCAAAAAAGCTCCCTTTCCCCTGAAAAACAGGGACAGAAAAAGCTACGTATCTGAGTATGTATCCCTTTTCACTTTGGCTGCCAGGAAGCTCAGAGTAAAATTAACCTTGAGCACTGTGTATCTGAGTTCCCTCCTTCTCTTCCTTCCTTTAGTCAATTTCCCCAGACCTATTAAGTGATGTCAAGTTCTAGCTCTATTTAGATGAACAGACAAACAACCCCAACTTAGAATCCACGTGTCTGAGAGGCCTACACTGACCAAATGGCTCTACCGCATTTTTAAACCCAGTTCCTTAGGACCACTGGGGTCGAAGCTCTCTCTTCCTCACTCTCCCACACAGCCCACTGGAACAAGCCAGTGAGGTTTGGGTAAACTGAGTCACTTCCCACAAATGTTATCCACAAGTCTCCCTGAGCCCTGGGATTCTGCCTTCGGGTCTGAGGGGCAGCTGGAGCACTGAGCTGGGCATTTGGAAGTTCCACTCCTCACTGGCTACGTGACCCTGGGCAAGTCCCTGTCCTTTTCTAAACTAGACGGGACCAGGTGATCCACAAGTTTCCTGAGCTCTGAGATTCCTGCTCAGATCACCAAGGACAACAGCCTCCTGATTGCCAGCACCATGCTGAGTGCCACACAGATGCTAACCTCGCAACAACCCTATGAGGTAGGTGCTGTCATCACCGCCACTTCACTGATGAGGAGACAGCTCAGAACGTGAAGGGACTCACCCGTGGTCACACAGCTGGCAGGCAGGGAGCCATGATTTGAACCCCAATCCATGCTCTCAGCATCAACATCAGGCCCAGCCTCTCTCCTCCATGGCTGTGAGAGGCTCTTCCTTGCCAGCGCCCTGCCCCCCACATCTCAGCCTCATAAAGACCCTAAAAGAACCTAAGAGGTGGTTTATTTTTTTATTTTTTAAATTATTTTTATTACTTTTTTTTTTTTTTGGTGACTGGCCAGTAAAGGATTTTTTAAAAACAGAAAGCCCGGGCCGGCCCGGTGGCGCACTGGATAGTGCGCCGCTTGGGAAGCGCGGCAGCACTCCCGCCCGAGGGTTTGGATCCCACATGCAGACCGGTTCCCGCTCACTGGTTGAGCGACGCGCGGGAGCAACGCCGAGGGTTGCGATCCCGTTGCCGGTCCCCGGTCCGGTGCGGGGGCGACACTGAGGGTTGCGATCCGTTGCAGGACACGGAAAAAAAAAGACAAAAGACAAAAAAAAAAACAAAAAGAAACAGAAAGCCCAAGTCCCGTGGCCAGAGAGCTCATTGCTTAGATTACCTGGAGGGACAC